CATCATCATCATCATCCTTATAATCATCATCTCGATCATCAACATCACCATCATGGTCATCATCATCATCATCATCATCATCACAATCACCATTATCACAATCGTCATCATCACCCTCATAAAAATGATAATCATCTTCGTCGTAGTCGTCACCATCATCGTCATCATCAGGATCATCATCATCGTCAACATCAGCATCATTATCACCATCATCATCATCACCATCATCATCGTCATCATCATCATCATCATCATCACAATCATCATCCTCATACTCAGCAAAATGATCATCATCGTCGTCGTATTCGTCATCATCAACATCATCGTCATAATCATCATCATCATCATCATCATCACAATCATTCTCCTCATCCTCAGCTTAATGATCATCATCGTCGTCGTATTCGTCATCATCAACATCACCGTCATCATCATTATCATCGTCATCATCAACGACATCAGAATCATCATCGCCGTCGTTGTAACCATCATCATCTTCACCAACACCATCATCGTCAACGTCGTGGTCGTCACCATCACCATCATCATCATCATTGACATCAACATCCTCACCATCATCAGCGCGAAATTAATCCTCCGGATCGTCATCATCATCATCGTCGTCTTCCACATCATCATCATCGTCAGCATCATCATCACCATCATTACCATCATCATCGTCGTCACCTTCCTCACCATAATCATCATCAGTGTCGTCTGTTTCGTCACCATCACTATCATCATTTTCATCGTCATTATCGCCATCACCATCGTCAACATCTCCATCACAATCGTCGTCGTCGTCATCTTCGTCGTCACCATCATCATCATCGTCAGCATCATTAAAATCATCTCCATCATCATCACCATCATCATTATCATCGTCATCATCATCATCACCACAATCATCATCCTCATCCTCAGCATATTGATCACCATCGTCGTCGTATTCGTCATCATCAAAATCATCGTCATCATCATTATAATCGTCATCATCAGCGTCATCCTGATCATCATCATCATCACCATCATCATCAACAACATCAGCATCATCATCGCCGTCATTGTCAACATCATAATCATTATCATCACCAACATCATCATCAACATCTCATCGTCAACGTCGTGTTCGTCACCATCACGACCATCATCATCATCGACATCATCATCGTCATCAGCATCAGCACCAAAATCGTCATCCGGATCGTCATCATCATCATCGTCGTCGTCAACATCATTATTATCACCAACATCGTCAGCATCGTCATCACCATTATCACCACCATCGTCAGCATCATCATCATCGTCATCACCATCATCAACATCACCATCCTGATCATCATCAACCTCATCATGTTCATGATCATAATCATCATCGTCGTCGTTGTCACGGTCATCACCATGATCATCATGATCATCGTCATCAATATCGTCCTCGTCGTCGTCCTCTTCACCATCACCATCATCATAATCATCGACATCGTCATCCACATCATTGTCGTCGTCGTCAACATCATGGTCAGTTCAGGTCAGGTTTTATTGAGGGAAATATAGGTACATACCTTTGAACTTCCTATTGGTACAGGACAGTTTTTTCAATGCATTTTATCTGCAGAATGTTTCAGAACAGTGGCGTTGCCAGTAATTTGAATTTGCGTAAGGGAGTGCCGACAGTGAAGAAACTCCTTAGGCATTGTTCAGAAGTCTAGGGGTTTGAATGCTATTTGAGATATTTAAGGAGAAAAACTGTCGCCCGTGTGGGTGGGGGGTGGAGGGGGGGATGCAGAGTATATTCGTATCGGATGGCCTGTACTAAGAGTGTTTAAAGCATGTCAGGGGGAGTCCATCGCGGTTTTCGCCATAATGCCAAGGGTCCCACGAAGAGAAGATTGCGGAGGTTACGCGAACCTCAGCGAGTGTCAGCGATGCGCCCATCGTACACCCTTGTTGGTTAACGAGTCTGCCTACTAATTGACAGAACAGATTTAGTC